TTTTTGAAAAAATTTCATGTTTTTCAGAAGTGCTTTTTGGTTTAGTTTGGTTTGGTTTGTTTTACGGCATATCAACCTCAATGGGTTATTTAATGCCGACAAAATTTGTATTGCTGGTAATCTATCTATCTATCTATCTATCTATCTATCTATCTATTGGTTTGGTTTGTTTTGTTTTACGGCATATCAACCTCAATGGGTTATTTAATGCCGACAAAATTTGTATTGTTGGTAATCTATCTATCTATCTATCTATCTATCTATCTATCTATCTATCTATCTATCTATCTATCTATTGGTTTGGTTTGGTGGTTTGTTTTACGGCATATCAACATCAGTGGGTTATTTAATGCCAACAAGATTTTTATTGCTGGTAATATTTTTTTCAAAAAAAAAAAAAAAAATATTTTTTATTTTTCAAAAATGTATTGCTGGTAATATTTTTTTTTCAAAAACGTATTGCTGGCAATAATTTATTTAAAAAATGTATTACTGGTAAATATTTGCAAATTAATCCTTGAATTTGATATCAACACTCGGAAAAACTCACCAAAAACCGTAACAAACATTTCTTATATGTAAATTATAAAAGACCATATTTAGGTGAAATATACCTAAAAGCATATCTTTAAAAACGTGATTAATTTAAAAACTAAAAACATTAAAACATATTTTTATTTGAATAAATTTCACTTTTAAAATTTCTAATTTTTTACTACCCTTACCATCGCTCTAAGTCGCCAGCTGTGCTATTATCCACCCAGACTAGTCAGGGATGTAATTCAATGTTTCTCGCTGCACCTCCTTGACATTAGTATGCTAAATGAGTGTGATATTCTCCAAGCCGTCTTTCCTTATGTCTTTCGTTACTCTTACTACTTCTACTTATTATAGGTGGGAGAGTCTATTAACTATAGAATAGGTGTGTTCCACTATAACAGAGTATTAAATTCCCCAAGCATCCTTTCCTCATTCTGTGCTCCGTAATATCAACTGTCTTTTTCTGATTGCAAGTATATGATTTTTTTAGTTCCCATTTACTTTAATCCTTATCATCTTGGGAACAGTTTTCAATGATGCTTTCATTTAAAAAAAAAAAAAAATATTTTGACCAGTTTTTAATCATTTCACCCCAAGCAAGGCAAGGAAGCCACTAAGAAGCAGGATGTTACTCAGTATGAAATATGAGAGAACTAAAAACATTATTATGACACAAGAACAATAAAAGTACGGAAGATATGATTGTATTTAAACTTTTGAGGCTCAAAGTTGGATGGAAAAATGAGAAGTTGGAAGAGAGTTCCACATGTGAGAAAAGAAACTGTTAGCATAAAACATACGGCCATTTTAATTGTAAAATGATGAGACCTTACCGCCAATCTAGTACTGCACTTAAATTCATAAAGTCTAGACTCTCTAGAGGAAAGTTCATCCAAACAATTAGAATGAAAGTATTTATAGAAAAGGCATTTTATTTCTTTTATAAATGGCTAGGCATGTCTAGCAGATTCCATTCAATTTCTTTATACTTTTCTTTTTTATTAATAAAGAAACTGTTAGCATAGAACTTAGGGTTACATCTAGACATTTCAATTGTAAAATGATGAGACCTTACCGCCAATCTAGTACTGCACTTAAATTCATAGAGTCTAGTTAACATAGAAAGCAATATTTATTTTGATAATACATAAATGTGGCACAAGGCCAAAAAGAGAGATATATGTCTTATCTTAAACCGAGCCAAAATTACTGACCCAAAGATACCATAGAATTCTTTACACTAAGCAACACCACAGCCGACACAATACCTCAAAGTCTCTATGAAGTTCCTCACTGTATAATTTGTTTAGGAATAAAAACATAGGTAACACAGAAAGTTTATCAGAAAAATGACCATGAAAGTACAGGGTGTCCCAAAATGATGTATACACTCTTTAAATATTAATAGTTAATAATACCTTATCGTGATGTGAGAACTTATATGGATGGAAATATGCAAAACAGATGGATTGGAAGAAGAGGGACAGTTGGATACCCACTTAGATCACCAGATTTGAAACCCTTGGATTTCTTTTTGTGAGGGTTTCTAAAAGACAAAGTTTACAGCAGGAAACCTGAAACAGTTTCTGAAATAAGAGTAGCAATTGAAGAAGAATGTGCTCAAATACCCGAGGAAATGATACTGGACATTTGTAGGTCTATTTCTTCAAGATATGAAAAGTGTATTGAACAGAATGGCAACCAGTTTGAGAATTTCATATGAATTCATCATTATATGAATATTCTGCTATTGCACCAAGTTAGTTAAATTTCTATGTTTTTTGTATATTTTACCCTAAAATTCTTTTAATGTGTATTATTTCTCTTGTATTAATCATATTTACAAGTCAAAATACATAAATTGAATAAGATATAACGATTCAAAGAGTGTATACATTATTTTGGGACACACTGTATTTATAGAAAATATTCAGTCACCCCCCCACGAGGGTGTCATGTGGCACAAGGCATTTTTAACGTGGGCATTCCCAAGCCATTAGGATCGGCCAAAAAATAGCCCATTTGAACCCGTATAAATGGGTTCTGGGCCGGTTTTACCTCCCCGAAGGAGACTCCGCCCTTCGGCGTAGACTCCTTCGGGTTCTTCCCGCCCGTAGGAAGAGAGTTTAACCGAACAGTCGCTCAGAAAGTGAGCGAAAAGACACAGTAAAGCGATATTATGTCTGTGGGTAAGACGGGATTTAATTTTTTGCATTTTCTAGATCAGTGCTTCTCAACTTTTTTCAGTCCGTGGACTATTTTTTTCTTCAAAAATTATTATTTTAGTAAACAAGGATAAACGCAGGATATCAAAATCAATTTTGATGGTGTCATTCAGTTTTAGTCCATTCAGTTAGTGACTACCTTGATTTTGGTGTTTCTCACGCAATATGTCATAATCAATTTTGATGCAATATTCATAATCAATTTTCCAGTCTTAATCCATTCAGCTAGTGACTACCTTGATTTTGGTGTTTCTACTCACACAATCAATTTGATGTCATAATCGATTTTGATGATTTCCTCCAGTCTTAATCCATTCAGCTAGTGACTACCTTGATTTTGGTGTTTCTCACGCAATATGTCATAATCAATTTTGATGATTTCCTCCAGTCTTAATCCATTCAGCTAGTGTTTCTACCTTGATTTTGATTTCCTGTTTAATCCATTCGCAATACCTTGATTTTCATAATCAATTTTGATGATTTCCTCCAGTCTTAATCCATTCAGCTAGTGACTACCTTGATTTTGGTGTTTCTCACACAATATGTCATAATCGATTTTGATGATTTCCTCCAGTCTTAATCCATTCAGCTAGTGACTACCTTGATTTTGGTGTTTTCAATATGTCATAATCAATTTTGATGATTTCCTCCAGTCTTAATCCATTCAGCTTACCTTGATTTTGGTGTTTCTCACGCAATATGTCATAATCAATTTTGATGATTTCCTCCAGTCTTAATCCATTCAGCTAGTGACTACCTTGATTTTGGTGTTTCTCACACAATATGTCATAATCAATTTTGATGATTTCCTCCAGTCTTAATCCATTAATATTTTGATTTTGATTTTGGTGTTTCTCGCAATATGTCATAATCAATTTTGATGATTTCCTCCAGTCTTAATCCATTCAGCTAGTGACTACCTTGATTTTGGTGTTTCTCACGCAATATGTCATAATCAATTTTGATGATTTCTCCAGTCTTAATCCATTCAGCTAGTGACTACCTTGATTTTGGTGTTTTCATGATTTCCTCAAGTCTTATCCATTCATAATCAATTTTTGATGATTTCAATTTTGATGATTTCTCCAGTCTTAATCCATTCAGCTAGTGACTACCTTGATTTTGGTGTTTCTCACGCAATATGTCATAATCAATTTTGATGATTTTCTCCAGTCTTAATCCATTCAGTCTTAGTCCATTCTACTACCTTGATTTTGGTGTTTCTCAAACAATATGTCATAATCAATTTTGATGATTTCCTCCAGTCTTAATCCATTCAGCTAGTGACTACCTTGATTTTGGTGTTTCTCACACAATATGTCATAATCAATTTTGATGATTTCCTCCAGTCTTAATCCATTCAGCTAGTGACTACCTTGATTTTGGTGTTTCTCACACAATATGTCATAATCAATTTTGATGATTTCCTCCAGTCTTAATCCATTCAGCTAGTGACTACCTTGATTTTGGTGTTTCTCACACAATATGTCATAATCAATTTTGATGATTTCCTCCAGTCTTAATCCATTCAGCTAGTGACTACCTTGATTTTGGTGTTTCTCATAACAATATGTCATAATCAATTTTTTTGATGATTTCCTCCAGTCTTAATCCATTCAGCTAGTGACTACCTTGATTTTGGTGTTTCTCATCAATATGTCATAATCAATTTTGATGATTTCCTCCAGTCTTAATCCATTCAGCTAGTGACTACCTTGATTTTGGTGTTTCTCACGCAATATGTCATAATCAATTTTGATGATTTCCTCCAGTCTTAATCCATTCAGCTAGTGACTACCTTGATTTTGGTGTTTCTCACACAATATGTCATAATCAATTTTGATGATTTCCTCCAGTCTTAATCCATTCAGCTAGTGACTACCTTGATTTTGGTGTTTCTCACGCAATATGTCATAATCAATTTTGATGATTTCCTCCAGTCTTAATCCATTCAGCTAGTGACTACCTTGATTTTGGTGTTTCTTTCTCATAATCAATATGTCATAATCAATTTTGATGATTTCATAATCTCCAGTCTTAATCCATTCAGCTAGTGACTACCTTGATTTTGGTGTTTCTCACACAATATGTCATAACCAATTTTGATGATTTTCCAGTCTTTCCATTCAGCTAGTGACACCTTGATTTTTGGTGTTTTCTCACAATATGTCATAATCAATTTTGATGATTTCCTCCAGTCTTAATCCATTCAGCTAGTGACTACCTTGATTTTGGTGTTTCTTACACAATATGTCATAATCAATTTTGATGATTTCCTCCAGTCTTAATCCATTCAGCTAGTGACTACCTTGATTTTGGTGTTTCTCACGCAATATGTCATAATCAATTTTGATGATTTCCTCCAGTCTTAATCCATTCAGCTAGTGACTACCTTGATTTTGGTGTTTCTCACACAATATGTCATAATCAATTTTGATGATTTCCTCCAGTCTTAATCCATTCAGCTAGTGACTACCTTGATTTTGGTGTTTCTCACAATATGTCATAATCAATTTTGATGATTTCCTCCAGT